GGAATTCATATCCAGACAGTGGACAGGATGCAATAAGAAACCAGACATTAAAGGGGATGCAATGAGAAACCAGACATTAAAGGGGATGCAATAAGAAACCAGACAGTAAAGGGGATGCAATAAGAAACCAGACAGTCAAGGACAAATTCTTTCCCAATTACTTTTTCCCCATGGAAAGAACTACTATATTCAGGATGACCTCTCTTTTTTAACCAGTCTGTGATAATGTGAAAGCAAGTTTTCGGTATAACATGCATAAAAGAACTTCAATCGTAGAAAGAGATGAATACTGCCTCGATAACGGCTCACAGGATGGAGAGTGAAACATCCTCACAAGCGTCAGAACATTTTTGTTTGGATGCCAACAGGGTCTATCGATAGTCAGATATCCACCCATCTAACAGGAAAGAGATTTTGGCGCCTCTTTCAGTACAACGGTCAACATGAACCTATGAATCAAAAACAAAGTATGCATTTATTCCGTTCCTGATACGAGGGTTTCTGCTTCAATTTCCACCCTGAAATATGTTTGCAGTTGGGCTTTCTCATGCTTGCTCATCGACGAGACCGGACTGGGTTGGTACTAAACGAGAAGGGAGCATAACTCTAATTGCTGTGATTTCTCCCACGCATGGATTTCAGTACATTCGAAGTTGTGATGGTTCCAGTCGCAACCGAGAGACTATTTTAAGGGGAAAAACAAATCTGAGGAAACATTGTGATGTGTCAGCGCTTATGAGGGGTTTAGAATTAACTGGTCGTGGCAAGCTGTAAATAACACAAGGGGCAGTCAAATGAAAACGGGACATGGGGTGAGTGTCCCGTTTTCAATCGACTCCCCCTTGTACATTTCGGGTTTCACCTGACTCAAAAATGATCTCGCAAACATTTCATTCAAGGAGGAAAGTAGGGGGTCGAGTAAATTCGGTCAATTGTTCATTTTGCTAGCTCTTTATAGATTCGCTCTTTTAATCGATTGGCTGTACTCAAAACAATGGCATTGTGCTGAAGTGGTCTACTGATAAATCCATTCCTGATTCCAGCAATAAATGAGCAAGAATCAAACAAGAAATGATCCAACTGACTCAAAAATCTTCAACCCCCAAATTTGTCACATTAAGTGTCCTCGATTTACTGCCTTAAGAGAAAAATTCTCAACTCGCAGAATTTAAAAATAAAATTGCAATTTCTCTTCAGCCATGAAAAAGGTATTGATATAATAAGTAACTAACTTAAAAGATTGTGCAATGAGATATTTCAGCCCAATATGAAAGCAGCTGAAGGTACCGTATTATAGAAGCTAATTTTATCCCGACGTGCGAAGAATAAAACCAGAAAGGAGGCTTAAAATTATTCTGAAGGGGGTTATAAAGTAGTGCGTGTACAAAATATAATTGCTAAATACTAAGCGGCTTGATTGCTAAAGTACTAACAAGCCCATTAAGTGCAATAATCTGCGCTATTTTAATCAGTGCTAGTCGATGCACCTTCTCTATCGTTATTTGTGAGCTTTCATGGTAAGCCCTCGTAAGGTAAGCTTACCTAATTTTGGTTTCAATAGTTTGTTTCCCTATGGTACACCATAGGGCAGAGGTGCCAAACCTACGTGTGACAGTTAATCCGGCCCGCGGCGCTTCCCGGACATTATTATTGTAAATGTCATATTAATACTTAAAAAATAGGTATTGCGGCTCGCGGGAGGTCCCTTAAGGGGCAATGCGGCTCAGTTGGACAAAAAGGTTGGCCACCCTTGCTATGGGGAATACTTGACACAATGTTTATTCTGCATTGTGGAACATCAGTTTCCAAGGCTTCCAATGAAAAGCTCTATGCATCAAGACTCCGTAATTCGTGATGACAGCGAAACAGAAGTAGCAGACGATCTCATTATCCATGCCTCGTCTTCAAAACGTGGAAATTCGGAGACGTGTTGATAGAGTGGATGCCATTTTCATCGATGATCACATTAAGAAGCCATTACGGATAATTATACTAGCAGGAGATGCTCGGACAATAACCACATATTCACACGATCTTTATCATATTGTAGAAATCCATGGAAACCTAGTGCATGAATATCAGCAGTAGTACTTAAAAATTATCTCAGTAAAAATGCTGTAAGTTAGAAACAGTAATGTGTTGAGTCCTTGCAATTTCTGCTGTTGTTCATAATTAGACTGCATTTCTCTCACAATCCCAGAGCAATAGCATCCCTTAGAGCAATATAAGAGCGATGATTACAATGAGAATCATTAGTGTTATTGCGAAGGAGTCATATGGGGTTATATGCCGCGAGGAGGACTCCCCGACTTAAGGAGCCGAATGGGAAGGAATGACTCAAGTTAGGATGACGGTATATAACGTAATACACAGTATATTGGGAGACCTGATTCCAGAAGACAGAAATTGGGTCATCGAGATCAAGACCTCTTTTGAAGGCGATTGGTTTCTGTGATGCAGTAGAGCCAAGACCTAATTTTTTTTCTGACACCATCTTGACTCGTCCTTGTCCTAATTTGAGCTACTACTTGTCATATTTTCTTCTCTCTCAATCTATCTTGATTAAGTGTCTTTATGTAGGTCGCAGCTCCAAATGGTCTGGAAGATCGAGATACGAATGATTTTTTTGTGGCGTATTGTGATATCCATATTTCTTCATATTTATTAATAGCTTTTGGGATAGTCAGGATATTGTGCTTCCAGCTTCAATTGCGGACTACACATACGAGGTAACTTAGATTGACCCAAGTTCACAGGAGAAAGTCCTTCACACATGGGTTACATCCTTCTAATTCTCTCGAGGCTATGTGCGATATGATGCTGCATCCTTCAGCGTTGTCGTCTGCTACAGATATGGAAGGACAGGTGGATCCGATTGATGCAATAACAGGGAGAGAGTACCACATAGACGAGGTGCAGTGTGTCGATAGACCATGGCGAAGTTCGATAGCCCATGTTTCTAATTTCGACATAGCTGACTTGGTCATCTTGGCCATAACTATTAGGATTTGGTAGGGGAAAGCGATGCCTGTGCGTAATAGCGCAAGGATGCAAGAAAACATCTGCTGGGGTCATGTTTGGAAGGATTTTGCAGGTTTAAAGGAAGGCTGTCAGTTCCAGAAATTGTCTGCCGTGCATCTAATGGTAGCAGTGAAAGGAGGTAGCAAAGGATAAGGGGAAAGCGGGTTTAGTTTTCTAGGAAATATTAATTTCTCCGTGATCCCTTCAAAGCCACATTGAGATAATGCGAAGACCTGAAAGAACCCTCTCCCCCCCCCCCCCCACCGGCTCCTCCTAGCTCATCAAGATTTCGAAATAGATACGAATAGGACTTCTGGAGCTGACAACAGGAAAGTCTATTACGTCAATATTTAGATTTGTGTCTCTGGCACGTATGTTTACGCTGGTGTTTTCAAACCATACAGTATATCATTTTTTATTAAGCAAAATTCATTGTAATCATGTGTGCTTTTAACCTAAATTTAAATTCTTTAGCAGAAATAGTAGATTTCAAATAGTGCATTTCTTCACTAAGGATGGGGAAAAGGTACTACTTGCATCATTTTAAAAAATGTCAAGCACAACAAATGCAATGACCATCACAGTGTCATGGATGCTTCAATTCCATTTAGAAATAGATGGCCTGTTATGTGATTGTGCCATAAATGGAACAACCAATCATTCAGAACATGCGGTACCGTTCACTGTTCATTTATTCTCATTGGATGACGCCCCACCACATTATACCATGGCCAGCCGTAACATCCCGAATGAGCATCTGGCCGGACGGTGGATTGCTGGGTGTGGTTCAGTTCAATTGCCTCCACACTCACTCGACCTCACAGCCGTGGCTGTGGGGTTATGTCAAAGGCAAAGTGTACGACACCAAGTCAATAGAAATCCAGACCCTCTGACAGACAATTACGGATAATCTTCGTGCGATTTCATTTGATATGGTGCGGGATGCAACTGAGGATTTTCCCAAAATGGTGCAATGTCTGTCTTCAACATGGACAACAATTCCAGAGTATACCGTAAATGTTTTATAGTACCTTTTACTTTGAAGTACATCCTTTCAAATGATTATTAATGATACCTTTGTGCATTAAAGATATCACTGTACATAATTCCAAAGTTCATCCTTTATGAGGCACCCTGTAGTTGGCAATATTCTGAATTCTAGCACCGAGCTTGGAAAATCTAGTGAATATCATTTGGAATTAAGACCAGTGATGCAATCTGCAGACTATTATAAATATGTAATCGTGAAGGCGGTATTATGTTCTATGGGAAACTGTTACACGTGCTGTCACGCAGACAGAACGTGCCAATAAGTTTACGTGTAGGAACGTGCATGTTTGATTGTGGACATGAGACTTGGCTAAACACGTGTAGCTAGGGACGTCAATGAGTACATTTCGAAGTTCAAAGAAATAAGCACGTGCGAGTCACTTGTCTCTCCTCTAACGGAAAACCCAGAATGACAAATTATCTACCGCTTTCTTACGTGGCTTCACCTTCGGCTGAGCCTAAGTGGGACAGTCAGTCCAAGGGGCATCTTCCGCAAACCCATGGAATTTTCATGGGCTACGGTAAGAACTGAAATGTAGATCAAGGCTTACGATAGCCCTAGAACTCACTCTCGTTTCAACATTTGCCAGAATCTCCAACAAAGCACTCGCTCCACGATGCTAGTTTCTGAGCTTCAATAATATTGCTTTATACAGGTATAACTGCAAGGGCTACTGACACTGTAATGACATCACCAAAGGGCGGCTGGGTTTCCTATGATAGAGAAGCATGATAAAAATCACGAAGCAAAGATTATTGGACAATAGTTACGAGACAATAATTACGCAAGATTCGTCCAAATAGTTCCTGGAAAAGTTTGAATGACCTTGAGGAAGGGCTTGCTGGTTCATCTTGCAGATCCAGAACTCAATGAGATCACAGTATCATCAATAAAAGTTTTATTTGAAGAAGATTAAAATTGTATTGTTGGTGACATTCTTATTTAAATTCAATCTTCTATAACTGACAAAGTGTGAGGGATTCTCTGAATTTTCCATGACATTCTCATAACCGTTCCTTTGGAGTTATTTTACTTTTCAACTTCATTTTGAATCATAGTTTCCATTTAACCATGAAAAGTTTCAGCAATTGTTAACAACCTTGCTTGAGCAAAGTCCAGTCTTCGTGCACCCATAGTTGCTTCTTTTTTATATCATGGAATTGTCCCATTTCTGAAGATTTCTCTCTCCTTCTCTGGCTCCTCATCTTGAGATAACAGCATCCGCCTCTCCTGAAATACAACTAGCATGTAGAAGGAAAAACACAGCTGTCCCACATTGTGCAACCTAGATACTTAAGCCGAAGTGGTTCTGATGAACCAGGGTAACTTCAATTACAGAGAAGCGAATTTGTCAATATAAAAAAGATACAACATAACTCAGCTTATAACGTTGCACCTAAATTAGCCGTGAGTAGGAATCTTAGGCAGAATATACAAGTGAGAAGACAGTGTTCGTCCATCTTTGGTGGGTAGTGGAAGCCCAGTATTGCGCACATGTTTCCCAGTAGCGGATAAAGGGGAAGGGTCAGATGAGTTTCCCACCCTATGCAAGGCACACCCACCCCCAAGGGGTGGGTGTGGCAGATCGGGTCATACTGGGAAGTATAGTAAAAACTCGTTAACTTGAACTTTTGGGGACCGGGCAAATCGTTTCGAGTTATTCAAAGTTCGACTTATCAGGAATTGCCCCTACCCGAAAAAAAAATTACTCACGTTAAGGGATAGGGCGATTTTTCCGTCCTCAAGAATCCGATTTCAAGGAGCGACGACCTTCTCATTATAATTGGCTTTTATTCATGTCTAGCGCTTTCACTCCCGCATTTCTTGAATTCCCATTTTTAATTCCCGAGTAAACCCGGGAGTGGGGATACTCTATATACAACAGTTATTCATCACAACGCCCTTCATCCGGTACTCCGGAAACCAAATATGACTGAAATGGCCGGAAGTGAGAGCGATAAACAGACAGGGTTGCTAGAGGTTGCTTATTTTTATAGCAGCAGCTTTTCGGTTTTAATTAGAGCTGTACCGATGGGAACCTTTGGCGGTGGGCCGATGGCCGATTTTTTTCATATAACTATCGGCCGGTGCCGGTGGGAATTGTGGCCTGTAGAAGAAATCGCCTATAAATACAAACAGGCATAATGGAAAGCCAATGTGATACTTATCAGTAGGCCTCCTTGAAACGACAGAAATCACTTTTGGTCCTGTCCAGCCTATCTCTCAATGCTCCTGTTCGTGGTTAGCTTGTTACACATTGCTGCAGTTGAGAGTATTTAGTGACACATCCCATGCTAAAGCATAACGTAAATGGAGATGCAATGATTTCCCGTTCTTTACCGCTACTTTCCTCTGCCGGTTACCATAATACGGCTGTAACCTAATCCGATCGATAATTTTGCCTGGGAGAGGCTGGCAGGATTGGCTTTCAGTGAAACAGGAGGGCCGGCGCAGAGGCGCGTGAACACCCTCACGGAATTTTTTTCACTTTCCCCGTCCTTTGGGCACCGGCATCGACACCATTGCCATAGGCCGATGGCAGATGGTGCTGATAGTGCAACACAAGGATTTCCTCCCGATCAGGGTTCTTGCCATTCACCAATTCAACAAATTGATAAGTCCCACAATAATTTTTCCCCCTTCACACCCCGATTTCGAGTTAACCATGAGAAAATCGTAATCGGTAGTGAAAATGTCGTTGGAGATATCCTTAAATTCGGGATAAGTGAATTCGAGGTAAACGGACTTGGTATCTTATGGTATTCGACCGGGACTTGAACTTGGACATTGAACTTCGAGATAAGCGGAATTTCAACTTATCAGGCTTCGAACTAACGAGTTTTTACTGTACTCCATAAAGGGAGTAGCAGACAAGGTCATCCATGTCCGAATCCTTTCTATTTCCAGCTAAAACTGGGCGCATTCAGTTGTGACCCGGGTCATGACTCGAGGTTCGTGATTCTCGCCAGGTGGGGCGCTTTTCAGAAACTATTATACCCAGGATTGATGAAATTGACAAGAGGTGTCACTATGGAGTAAAATTTATTTTGAACCCTCAATGCAAGCGTTGAACTGAGACCCTTGAGTCATGACTCAGGTCACAACCGAATGCGCCCACTGTTGATTCTTTTCTCCATTCCATCCCCCATCATCCATCTCCAGGTTTTAAAGAAGGGGAGAAGATCCAAGCTTGCTGGCACCGTCTGGTGTGATTTTTAATGTAGTAAATGTTATTATTGGCTTAGGGTTCCCTGAGACACTAGGGTGACAGACGATGTTATGCATGCTCATAAATTGCCTGCTGAGACTAATCGAGCTTCACGAAATGTACTTTGCTGTTACAGATGAAACGTCAACATATACAGAGAGGATGGAAAGTACCATGGGGGAGAATTACATTGCACAGCAATTCTTAGCCTCGGATGCGCTGTCGTCCCTTTGAATTCTACACCTTAGTGTAAATCTCATGCAAACAAGCATTATGCATCGTAAAATTACCGGAGCTTATCTGCGCCTCTTTTACCTTCCTCCCTTCGGTTTACAGTTCAAAAAAAGTTTGAATCAACAGGCTTGTGCGACTGTACTCCCAGAGATGGGTGGGGCAAGCACCAGGAAGGGACCCGCACAATTCGTTACCTCCCATTACACTCGATTTGGTTCTACTCAGTCTGTTATATCTCCATCTCCCCCTTACATGTCACTCTACGGCGTCAACCCCACCCATTCCCACGGGTTGAGGGGTCATGGTCCCTCTTACCTCGCCATTTGCGCGCCCCTTATGTTATCTGTCGATGTTGATTCAGCATTGATACAATGTTGGTGGAGAGTGAATGTGATATTGGGCGCAAATGACTGATCAATGGCGAGTCCCCACCAAAAAAATTTGAGCCAGAATCAGCATAACTTTCCGTGAAAATGCCACTTTCATCAAGAGTTTCCCGACTAACATGATATTAGTCACGAGATGATGGAGCATTATTGAAAATCACTTCCGCATGCTGTGAACTTTCTATGATTATGTTGGAGAGCTGACTTAGTGACTAAAGTTTCTGCATCCAGTTTTCTGTATTTGAAAAAAAAATCAAGATTTTTTATCATCATGGATCTGTTTTCGGTCTATTTTCGTGGCGAGAACTGCATTTTCCGTTGAATTGGCTAAGGAACCCGCTGAAATAATTATGTGTCCGAAGAAGCCCTGTCGATTGGGATTTAATTGAAAAACACTCACCATTGAGTCCTTAGCAAGACATTTTCGTCCACGAAGACGCCTCGCAATGAAAGCATTGAGAATCAGGATGAGAACGGCATTGAGAAACAAGTGGGCGATAAAAATCACAGTGGCAATGGTCATGTGTTCGTGGCTCTCCGCGTTCCAGGTACTCTTCCAGGGAGGAAAGAGGATAAATCCGACGTGCCAGAACCAGGTTCCTTGGAACAGTATCGTATACGCCAATCCGAGCACCGGAAGAATTTGGGACTTTTTCCAAATCACCAGAAATCCCATCAGGATTCCGCCCTTGATCACATTTCCCAGCAACGTGTGAACCTGAGGGAAGAATCTCTTATTTTCAGGTTTAAACTTAGCAGGCATCACCTACGCAATCAATGAATGAGTTCTCACTAAGACTTCGAGGGGAGGCATGCCATGGAGATGATTGGCGAATAGGAGCCATTCTGTAGTGAGGGCAAGTATTCCAAACGCATCGTCGACGTACGGCGGAATATGATACTCCATATCCGCCAGCATCCCGATGAGATAGAAGAGGAGGTAGCCAGAGAACATGCACACATGTTGAGCATTTCCAAAAGCCACCCATTTCCAATTGTTGTCCAGTGCAGTTACAATTTCCCCTATAGGAATAACAAGGAAAGAATGATATCTGGAGGTTGCATTCTCGTTTAATTCTAGATGCAGGAAACGCTTAAACTAAGGAAGTCCTTCAAAAGTTTCACGATTGAATCTTTCGTCGTTGTGAGAAACTCCAATCTGTAAGATAGCCTACGGTTTTTCCTCTTCCATGTTGCTCCCCACTGCAATCAGGACCGCGGCAGCTGTTCTATCATTCCCTTGAAAATGGCCACAGAACCTACCTTGTCTGTTTTCTAAAAGTGGAAGATAAGGAACAATGAAAGAAATGCACAGAATGCTTTGCATGACTTCCATAGTGCTTGGGGATTCCAATTACATAACGTAAAGTCAGAGATGACGAATTTCGAAGAGGATCCCACCGAATTATTGCGCTTTAATGGTATCAGGAATTTCTCTGGACAAATAAGGCAATTAACGACAAATTCGGATTTTCTCATTCCTGTCCGTTAAAAGAAGTGTTACAGGAACTCGTACCACGATTAATTTCATTTAATACATTCGAGACCAGCTGATTTTGCCCTGCGAGGGCCCAGAAAACCAGCAATTTTTCAGTACTTTCAAAAAAACAGAGGAAAGTATGATCCCATTGGATGATTTTTGTCTGCTGAAATGAATTCATCGTATTTTGCTGATTAAATCCATATATAAACTTCTAAGTAAATTTTACATAGCACGGGCACGGTCCTCTCCATTATGTGCCACCGTCCGTGCATAACACGAGTGCGGTCTCTGCGGTAAGAAGTGCACCAGTAGAGTAAGCATGAAAGAACGATGGATTCTAACCAAGGACGATTCTCACGCCTACTTCCCAGTAGCACCCAATACAATACCTCTCTAATTGACCTGAAAATGGTTGAAGGAAGTGTGAAGCTGTCGAGCTGGCGTGCAAAATTCACAGCATCGCTGCAAAATCAAATATCTGTCTCATATTTCCCGAGGTGCATCCAAAGAACTCGAGCTCTCGTTAAGGACTAAGAGCATTTAAGGACCATATTACAAGGTCCAATTCTGTGCTTCCTTTTGAAACACGAGAGGATTGAAGGATCGCATACTCTTTGTCAAAGGAATTTAATTTTCCTGTTGACCGTTAATATGAAGCTCGTGCTATTGCCATCAAATATAGATTTTTATCTTCCTTCCATTAACACGTTGACGACCAGCCTATTTTTGCTTGTCCGCCGCGTGGGACCACGCGCATTTTTTTTGTCAAAAAATGCGTCCTGCCATCAGGACGCATGGTCCCAGAAAACATTTTTTTTTTCCGAGTTTTTTTTAAATGTTGAATTTTTTGGAATTTTTATCAGTAATTACGAAATCATAATCTTCTGGAACGTTCTCAACAGTTCCAGAGGGTATTCATTGAAAAAAAAATCTGCATCCTGGCATCAGGACGCATTGTCGCCAACGTGTTAAGATCTCGAACTGATCGAAACCAGTGCTTGTGCTTCAAAAAACGTGTGACGAGAGGTGCAACTTTCAAACGAGTGAGAAAATGCTCTTCCATTGAAGAATGCCTCTTCATCCTTCGTGCTGAGAGATTCGTGCAGTTATTAGTACACCACTCCAAAAAAAAACAGCGGTGGAGCGCTAGTGGACGAGACGTTCCCTTCTATCTTTCCTCCATCGAAACTCCCATGAGTCCTCATGAGTGCATATTCCACTCAAGTTTAGAGAGAGCGCTCAGATTTTGGAATTGTATATTAGATGCTATTAATTTTGGTGAATGCTGAAGTTTACTTTCATGACTTTACGATTACATTGTCGCCCGAATGAGCCTGTAAGGTCCCCCAGGAGTTGCTTATAAGCGGTACGGGAGAATGGGGTAATACTGAGGAGCGGGTGAATCCGAACAGAGCGAAATAACCTATTTGAAATGTGCATGACAAGCAGCCACTTGTGCCGCTGCACAGGTTTCATCAACAAGTGTGGAAACCTAATGCAAAAGTTTCTGTGACTTGAACAGCTTTTCGAGGAAAGCAATATCTTCATTTTTATCTCTATTTGTGTAGAAACTGCACAAGAGGTGTGGCCTTCTTAGATCTTATGCGTATAAGAACTAACCGATTCGAACGAATTCGCATGGAAAAGAGGATTTACTATTCATCCGTAAAGAGACGGAATCCGGGATATTAGTTCTCTCGCAAGTCCGTGAGAGCGAGCTTCTTGAACGTCGGTGCTTTGGGGTAAATCCGGACTGGAGAAGGGGGTGGGGGATCAAACGTTCCGATTTACCAAGCATTCTATACACATTGGGGATGTAGAGAATACGAATTACTGTATGCTACCCAGGTAACACTGATAATGTCCTATATTGGGTAATTACCTATCACAATGCTTTCCAGATGCCCGGCAAGTACAAAAAAAGAACAAAAAAGACTATTGGAGTCGAGATCTTCAATCCTTTACTGGTCTCGTGGGAAAAGGGCGATCATGTGCTTATTCATCCCAATAATGTGCGCCCAAACGGACGAGATTAGTTAAAGGTTAACATTCCATGCGCGCCATGCAGGGCGTCAGGTCCCGCTCGAAGAGAAAATAAGAGAAAGAAATTGAAGAGAATCCTGAAAAAAGTATTTAAAAGCCTGCAAAAAGCAATTAAAACTTGGGTGTATCTCCATAGTACACAGACAGACTCGGAAGGTAATGTAACAAGGCAATGAGGTTGGTTTTTGGACTGGAAACTTCACAGTCATCATACCTCATTATGTGACCAAAAGGCGACTGTGTGACTTCGTCTTTCCTCTGCCCGCGCCGCAGCGAAGGTCCTTTCACGAAGTCACACAGACACGTTTTGAAGGTAAGTTAACAAGGTACGATGATGGTGAAGTTACCAGTCCAAAAACCACTCTTACTGCTTTACTACATTGCCTTCAGAGGCTGTCTGTGTAACTTCAATGCCTACTTTGAATGTTTAAGTGATAATGAAGTAATATGAAAACCAATTTTCAATTGCTTTCTCCTTCTTTTCTCCTTTCTCCTTTCTCCGCCTTTCTAAGGGACTCACTAACGTTAGGCCTAGACCTAACCAACAGACTACCTTCAGGTCACACCAAGACCTACCTTTCTCTTTTCAAAAGAAACTCAATTCTCGACTTAAGGCGCCAATTTGCCCTATAAGGGTGAATCGTGGTCTTCGAGACATCTGGTTGAGGACGTGTGACGTTAGGCCAATCGCAGGCCTATTCATACGTTCATGAACCATTTCAGAGAGGACATGTAACGTTGGACCGATTTGAGGCTTGTTTCGCATTTCATGAACCATTTCAGCGGGATGTGGAACGCTAGGCCTATCTGGAGTTCCTCGAGCCATCTCGAATTGGTCCGAGGAGAGAATGTCTTCAAGAAGCATGCAATCCATGGTACACGCCATCCATTCAGGGATGTCCGATAAGATATCTAAGATATCTACATATCCCACCACATCGATCAATAAATGCTAGCCATAGCTTCATTTTCAGCTCAACTCATGAACTCAGCAGAAAAACGTATCATACATTAGAAAAAAAGAAGATCCAGACGCCAATACGAATGTTGAAACAGTCTTGAATCTGGCATAATTTCGGCACGGTGTCCGGCAACTTTGGGGGACGGTACCGGAGCAAGCACTCTAAGCCTTATTGAACGACAGCTAATTTCATTTTTTTAATGGCCAAATGGAGATTGCAAACAACAAAAAAGACACTTTTGGTCACTACTATATCTTTCTTATGGTTGGTCTCTTTCCTCCGAAAACCCTCTAAGGAGTGGCTACCCAGGGGGGGGGGGAGAAAAAAAAGGAATGAAATTCACATCCTCTAAAAACGAGATTCAGTGTTCTCTGCAACCCGGGGGAGATGGAGCTGCAAATTTTCTGGAGCGATACCGTGGTGAGAGAGGAAGAAGTATGCCAAATTTCGTTCCTGTTGATGCTCTCAGACAGGAATACGAGGAGGTTGAATTTTGCGGCGGGAAGGGGTTGAAGAAATGTTATAGGCGCTACCGCGCCTATTGATGCATAAAATCAATACATAAGAGGATAATCAGTGTCAGGGAAATTCCTCCTTGACGATGGACAGATTTTCATGAGTCAAACGAAAGTTCATGACGGGCGATACTTCTTGAATCAAAAGTTAGAGAAATTGTCCCATTTTCAATAAAGTAATGAGGCCAATTTTCGGTAATAATTCATTATACCGAACCCCTTCCTTGGCTGTGTGCTCACACATCATGACCCGCAATGACCTGAAATTCGATTGCCGATCCAACCGCCCCACTGCCCGCTTTGTCCTCTGAGGTTCAGAACTCGAGGTCTCACATAATACATTCGCTCGCATCCGGACCGGGAACTTGATTGTCGACAAGACCGATGCACTGGTCGGATCGGTCCAATAGAGTCGATCCGCATCCCGGCTAAACTCAATATCTCCCGTTATTCTTCCTGGGCGTTCTTAGCTTAGAAAGATGGGTCTCAATTTAAGGCTACCAAGCGGGATCCACTGAACATTCTCATACAGGCGATTGGGTTTTCCCTAAAGACGGAACGCATCCCTTTATAATAGCTGTAAAGTATGTCTGAATTAAAAAGTTGTGATGCCTTAGAATGCTAGGAGACGAAACCCAATGGATATTGTCGCAAAATCGAAATTAGGAGCCTCTGATTACAAGAACCTTCCTCCACCTGATTCCTGAGATTTCCAAATTCGTTCGGTGTCTCATTTTAATGGTATAGGGGTCATTCGAAAGCTTATAACCTGGTGACGATAACTATTATGGTCGAAAGTTTGAAAAGTCTTACCATATGTCGTCATGGGGCATATATTCGGAGATAAAAATAACATCATACTGAATACCTTCCAGGGCGAAGTACCCGCAACCAACAATGTGAAGTTTGTGTCATCGTCGCTTACAGAAGTTGTTGTCATGGTAACTGCTGGCAATGATCACATGTCATAGTTTGTTGCGTTACCAGTCCTGTTGCAAGTTTCTTATAGTACTCCACATAGGTTTGCGGCATTGAGCTAGTGCTCCATTATTTTTATTTTTAAAATTTGGTATTCTAAAAATTCCCCGAACAAGTGAGGAAGTTTTAATCATTTTGCGACCGGATCTACTGAACGTAAGAGACTTTAAACAATTCTGACGGCTCAGTCAGTGGATAAAAGTGCTTGGCAGCATTCATAAAATGCGATTTCGCAGACTGCTTCCAGAAACAGTGAAACTGATGAAGAGAGAGCAGAAAGTCAGGCACGAAATGTTCTGATTCTACTTTTTTCAGCCCGTCTGCGCACGGGCATTACTCACTCACGGCGGCCATATTGATGCAATATTACCTTAATTTATGCAAATTATGCATGAAATCGAAATAGTTTCTCATGGCCTCGAACCTGTCATACAGAGTTGATTTATACCTCTGGAACTCGCCATATGCCTATATGGCGAGTATTACATGGAGAATAATATGGTGAGTATTAAAGGGGTATCACTACCTTAAGTATTGAACTACCCTCGTATAATATGAATGTTACTTTGTCCGTGATGTGAGTAATTATTCGAGTTAGCGATCCTATTAATGTGCTAATAACTGTCCTCCAATTCCAGCTCAACGGGGAAGAAGAAAGAGATGGAAAATGCCAGCAATGACAACCTGGGCAGACAATCGGAGGTTAAGTGACTCATAGTAGGGTAACTTGGGGGAATATAGCCCTACAAAATGAAACCTGGTCATAACGGCCCATCACGGTCGAATTTGACTTTTGCAATGTTTCTAAAATATTGATTCATATCTTCATTACTAAATCCCAGCAAGACACATGCAAAAAACAGCGTGGATATTACGCCTTTGGATCCTTTCTTATCTATAGTTGGTCTCAATAGGCCATATTACCCATACAGTTAGGGGAATCTAACCACTTCTGAATAAGCAACTCCAGATTTTCCAGGAACGTGTGAAATATGCTGGAGCTAGCTGAGTACATTGAAACATAGTAAAGGACGGTCAGGAGTTGAAAAAAGAAACACTAACTGCATTGAGAAGGAAAGAAGTCGTCATAATTACCTGACTCGAGGACCTGCTGCAGAAGGCAGGATTGCAACGCTTTTGGTTTAAAGTAGCATTGCACTTAATTGGAAGACTGTATCTACGAACTGTGGGTGTAAGAAGAGGGATCAAACATAGACCAGAGTTAGACCATGCGTTAAGAGGGTGAAATAAGAGGTCTTACATTGCAGGAAAAACGTTGCGAAGTTTTTGCGCGCATGCATATATAGTGGCAACAAATTGCAGAATACCCTTTTAACTTGTTGTACGAGGGATATTTACATGCATTCAAATTTCGTGCCACGAAAATATCTGGTGGATGTCAAGTAGATTAGCTGCAAATGCATATCTTCACGCACCGCCTCCTCAAAAACTACATATATCGTCCAGATGTCCAGATCCACATATCCAGAGGAAATGCATATGAAGAAGTACTGAGGTACCACGTGAAAGGAAGACGACACTACCAATAGGTCAATTCGGTGCTACTATGGAATCAAGGATGTGTCCATATTACCCATATTGGCTTGAATGACAAAATTGACAACATTGTATGTGTACTACAAGTGAAGGAGCTAGCACTTCCTACAAACATTCAGTAGGAACCATAGCATAACTTTAAACAAATAGTTTCTGTGTCCATGCTGCTATTAGGAAATATACGCTCAAACGGCTCAAGGCCCCTATTAGTTTCAGGGTCATGAGTTGAAGAATCATCTGCATATGACAAGAAGAAATCTATGTATCCCGAATTCCAGTGAGAACTGGATCAACGAACAGATCTAAACATTTCGACAATTCCATGCACTCTTCGATAGAACTATTTTAAAAATTCGACCAAACTAAATTATTCATTCTGTTTAGGGATTCATTGTGAAGGGCCATATTACCCCAATGGCCATATTCCCCCAAGTTTCCTTATCAATTGTATAAAAATGGGAAAGAATTTCGTAACGGTATTAATTTGTCATCTCTTTCACAGGGGATACTAAAGCGTTCACAAAAGAATGCACATGAAAAAGAACATAGCTGTGATACTTCCCAGGAATTGGCCAAGTTGAGACCGCTAGAAAGGCTCGACCCCAAATTTGATCCCCGAAAAAAGAAGATGATGAGAGTCCGACTCGAAGCATATCAGGAATTTTCCTTCCTTGAAGGCGCCAGAAAGTATCAAGAAAAGTATTATCCACAAGCAGAGACAAGGGCATACTCATTTCCTATTGAATACAGCCTCAAAAATAAGATTCAAGAGAAGTTATTAATTGATGAAACGACAAAGAAAACTGAATCAATCCGCAAAGACGGCGATGACAGGATTGAACAGCCAGCTGAAGCCACCAATCAAGGTGTTGAAGGCGGAATTACCACCAGTATAGAGGAGAGAATGGCAAACAAAACGAAAGTTGCAGATGCCGAAATTCCTAAAACGGAGAAGGGGAAGCATACCAACAAAGCAAGGGTCGCAAAGCAAAAAGTCATTGAAATTGTGGAGGATTCGCAGTGTACTGAGAAAGCAAAAGAAATATGCACCTCCAATCCTGTCGGGGAAAAACGTAGCAGGAACGGAATGGAAGATGGAATTCCACCTGATTACACAGCTGTAGGAAAAGTTTTTGATTTCCTAAAGGAAGAATTGGCTTTCTCTCCCAGTTTCGTCACTTACGAATATGAATTCACGAAGACATTCTACAATGCACTTGGGTTGAAAAACTTGGAGAAAGTGAAAAAACAAAAAAAGGTTGACATAAAGGTGACAGACCAGGATGTATGTGGATTCGTCTTGGATGGAGAACGAGTTCTTGCCATGTTTTTTGAGGTAAAAAGCAGGAAATGTACTAGTGACAGGCATTCAATACAAAATCTCTTGGGGAAGGCGGAACATCAGCTCCTGCAAGGTCAGGAAGTTTTTAAACAGTTTCTTGGAGCGAGTGCTTTCTCCCACACTTCTGTATGCAGTTTCGTGGCTTTTCCCTATCTGTCAAAGGGGGAGGTTGTGAAGTCCTTGAAGTGTTGTCATAACAATATCCTAACTCTGGAAGATCTTCAAACTCGTGAGGCATTTCGCAATTTCCTAAAGAGACATGGGATCAACCTGACAAGGCCTCACAGGCATGATGAAAAAGCCACAGAATGCTATTTAGATGTCATGAGAACCTACGTTGCAGCTTCAGCATCTTTGGAGGGGATGCCAAGGACAATGGAAGATCTTCACAAGAACATCGACAGAAGAATGGAGGAGGCAAGAATTCTCCTTACACCACATCAGATTATGATCTTAAGAGAGGGTCAGCACGTTCTTTTTCTGACTGGGGGACAAGGCACGGGGAAGACGTACTTGCTCCAAATGAGACTGCAACAATTGGTGGAAAGAAACGAAAATGTAATATTCGTGAACATGTCAGATGGATATCTCACTCATGCCATCGCAGACTGGTGTAAATCCATGAAAATCAAAGATAGAGTTACCTTCAAGGGTCCAAGAGAATTTTTAGGCAAAGATCAACAGGTCTTGGACGGCTTTCTTGATATGGTAAATGCTCAGTCAGGCAGTCATTTTCTGGTTGATGAAATGCCAGTCAACTACGGTATGGAGGGAGAAGAACCAGAGAAGATCGGCAAAAAATGGAAGGAATTTACAGAAAAAGTGAAGTGCCAAAGTATTTGGATCGTTTGGTGCCCCAGTGATGCGAGATATCCGGTGACTCTTGACATACACAGTGTGATGGACTCCTTGGGACGAGAGAAAGTGGAGCAACTCACAGCGATGAAGAGAAACACGAAGCAACTGGGGGAATTTGTGATAGAAGTCACCCGCTTCACACACACAAAATTCCCATGCTATAATTACCTCCCCATGCAAGGTCTGGAATATGGATTTGATCAATCTGTGGAAAAAAGTAAAATTCTTAGAGTTGTCTTCATCCACGCCCCCAAGGAAAAACACATCCTATGCCAATGGGCATCAAATGCTGCCATAGACATTCGTAAATGGATGAAAAATTCACCTCCATTCACCATCATCACCAGGACAGATAAAGAAAGGAATAAGATGGTACGAGATCTTGGATGTGTGCTGGAGCAAAGAGTTGCCTTCCTCGACTCGGAAGGAAGACTCCGAGGGCATTCAAAGGCTGACTTTTATATTTTCTTCCAACACCAAGTGACTGGGATATCTTTCAAGAATCTCATCCTCTTGGATGATGAACAGAGCTCCTATCTCTGTTGGTCTCTTATGGTAGGGATGGCCCAAGAAACCCTCCATGTGATTACTACAGGCACACTGTCTTCCAGCCACTGGGAAGAGCTTGAAAATCTGGGACTCATCTACTGCTCTCTTAAAACACCACCCATTTCATCTGATGAACCATGGGACGAATCTTCGTACAATCCGCTAGAAGAATCTTCTGATGATTGGTCTCAGTGGACCAATTTCATGGAGCTTGATTCTTCCTCTTCACTCAATGACGAAAGAGAGGAAACGAAGATCGAGCTTCTCTTTGGACCAAATCGGTCTGGCAAAACGACATTCCTCATGAAAAGATTGAGGAGCCTGGCAGGGCAAGAACAGAGTACCTGTAAAGCCCAGCAGAGAAAGCGCAAGACGTGTATGATACTTGTCAACTGTAGCAGATGGAACAGGAAAAGTTATCCAAGAAATCTATCCTTAATAGCAATGAAGGAGAGGATTAGAAGGGCAGGATTGGATAAGGTGGTCGACGTCATCGACATCCACGACCTCCTACAAGAGCATCAATTCAGACACGAAGTGGAACTTTCCCCGCAAATCATTAGTAAGCTCCTGGAGAAGATCCTGGAGAAGGGAGCAAAGACTGGACAAAGACTTCACTTAACTTTCGACGACGCACCGATTCACCAGTATTCAAGAGAAGGAGATACAGCGAGTTTAAGTGAGGAATGGAATTCCATTTTGGAATACCTCTCTTCTAATTTCATCTCACTCGCTTCCCTCAGGATCGCCTTCCAACCCTACGTCAGATATTCCATGGTTAATTTCAGCGTGAAAAGATTCATTCTCTCCCCCAAAAATGGTAAGATCTGAATTCATCTTGCCTATCCTAGGTCGGTGGAAAATTAAATTATGAACACAAACATGGTTCTCGGAAAATAGAGCGTTGATAGCCAGGAAGGGAAAACGAATTCGGTTGCTCACAGTGCGAATCCAAAGACTGCCAAGCTCATCCAATGCTCCCATCTAGCTCTCTCATTTGCCTTAGCGCATTTTTTTTTCCACTATGAAGAAGGGGTTCCAAATATGA